GAGATTTTGGTTTATGGTTTATGGATTACTATATATTTCTTATGGCACCTTGCTTAAGGTGTAAGGTGTAAGGATTATGCTTATGGCCTAGGGTTTAGGGTTTATGGATTATAGATTATGGCTTATGGCTAAAGGCTTAGTGCTTACAACTTAAATCTTATGATGTATGGAATATCGCTCATGGCTTATAGCATATGGTTAAAGGTGGTGTGGATTAGGGCTTAAGGCTTATATTTTATGTGTTAGGGCTAAGGGCTTAGGGATTATGGTTTAGGGCTTAGGGATTATGGTTTGTAACTAAACGCTTAGGGCTTACAACTTACGTTTTATGGTTTGTTGCTTATTGCTTGTGGCTTATATCTTATGGTTAAAGGTGGTATGGCTTAGGGCTTAAGGCTTATAGTTTATGTGTTAGGGCTAAGGGCTTAGGGAATATGGTTTGTGACTCAAGGCTTAGGGCTTACAACTTACATATTATGGTTTGTTGCTTAATGCTTGTGGATTAGGTCTTATGGGTTAAGTCTTATTTCTTATGGATTATGGTTAAGGTCTTATGGCTTATGAATTACGGAATATGGATTATTGTTTATGGATTAGGGGATATGGTTTGTAGCTTCTGATGTATGGCTTAGGGCATAAGGCTTATGGCTTAGGAGATAAGGTTTAAGGCTTATGGCTTATGGCTTATGGCTTATGGCTTATAGCTTATGACTTATGACTTAGGGCTTAGGGCTTAAGGCTTAAGGATAAGTGTTTATGCTTATGGTGATTAAAGACTTATGACTTACCCCACACCAACATGATCACCCTACCCCACCCTACATTTACCCAACCCCATACCTACACCTATCCGCCCATTACCATAAGCCCACACCGACACTTACCCTACCCCACCTTTACAACATACACCCTGCCCCTAAACAACCTTCCTCATACCTACACCTACCTCACCTTACATCCACACCCTATACCCCCACATATCCACTTAACTATACTCCGAAACCACCCATATGCTTAACCTAAACCCACCCAATATATACCCTTTCCCCGAACCACCTACATCCACATCCACATCCACACCACACACCCTACCTGCACACCCCATCCAACCTTACCCATCCACCTACACACCAACTCCACACCACTCTAACATCCATGTCCACATATAATCGCAATCCATCCACATAGGATATGAATTCTTTAATAACACCAAATATATAAGTTTTATTTAATATATTATTAAAAATTGAATATTTTGTTTTAAAAAAAAGGAATATTGTTGCGAATCTATATGTAAACTATTATCATTATAAATAAGGTAATTTTGGTAGACATCAATGCATTTTTATTTTTAAAAATTTAAAACTATTAAAGAATTTTCTTTTATGAAACTAACATCCATATAATAATAATCTTTATAAACTTTAATTAAAATATTTTATAGTAAAAACTAAAAAAAAAAATTCCAACCTAATTTACATATTTAATTCCCTCCCATTCCAAATTTGAGACATTTGGTTTCCCCCAAACCCGATACGATCGATTTAATCCCAAAATTTAAAAACCTTTATCCCTAATCTATTCTTTTTATCTCCATCGCACGCACAGAAGATACCGCTTACCCCCTTTTCACGACGATGACATCGTCGAGCCTTCTACCGAAGGCCAGATTCAAGATTTTGACTGGTGATCGTGGACAACGCTAACATTCAACCATCATGGTTTCTGAGTAAGAACCGGTATAGATCAATTATCTCTCAATCCCATAATGGAGACGTCGACATTAGGGTATGGACTCTGTGAATACTCTATTAGACCAAGAATCATATAACAATATTAGGCCAATGGAAATCGATATGATGCATAAATTGATAATTTCCAGTCAAGGCCATCAGGTTCCTTCACCACTTCCGGTTGTTGATCGTGTCATTGTTGTCCTATGTTGTCGTCGTTATTATCGCGCATCTATGTGCCACCAGGTATGCCTCTGTATGTTATCGATGTTTTTATTTTCTTATTTGACTCTCATTTCGACTAATTCTTTATTGATATCTGTCACACCCTCGAACCAGACGGAGGAAACATCCGGGGGCTTGCGCGTGACTTTATCCTTAAAGTATCATCACAAAGTATATAATTAAAACATAACATCATCATCACCACACATGTAATATAACAACAATCATTGTTTACATCGAGTATCGTTTGAATATTACATGCCAATATAATTAAAGTCTGATGAAACAAAATATGACACAACATCCATTAGTTTGTTTAGCCCAACCTGCTTCAACGGTTTCCTGAGAATAGAAGTTAATTTAAAAAGGTCAACATAAAAATGTTGGTGAGTTCATAAGCATGTTTGAGAAAATGATTTGTATAACTTTGCAATCACAAGAAAATCCTGTATTTTCTTAAAATAGTTTAGTATGTTTGTGTCCGATCTTGTATTAATGCATGTGTGTTATTGATTTATAGAATGCCAAAATTGAATGACGAGAATGTAGATAGAATGCCCCCATACAACCCTATGTTGCCTGTAAAAGAAGAAAAGAGAATGCTGTCGTACCAACCCCGAGGTTGAGTACCAGTGTGAGTATGTTTCCGAGTAATCCAAGAGAAAAAAAAGAATGGTCTTCCGCAAACTTCATAACGTTAATTCCTCTAAGTGAGCCGTCATAACCATACTAAATAATGAAAATTTCGCCTGTCTTGGCGTTTGTGAACGCCGACGGAAAAATAAAATAAGGTTATAGTCACCCTAGACTGATGTAGTCTAACTGTAGCGAACAGCTCAGGTGTGGGGTGTCATCCCCGTATAGATCTATACACAAAACCCCGCTCTCCCTCCAAGAGACTCTGATTATAACTACAGGCTACGATCGTACTCTCAATAGGTGTCAACCGACAAGTCTCACTAGATCCTTAATCGAATTTTACGCGAAGAGAAACATATAAACTCATTCCGGGCCCAATGAACCATGTATGCGGACCACGGAGTCTCACTGAACACGTAAGTCATTTTCAGGCCCGCAAGAAATGAGATTATATAACATGAGCTCAAAATATATGTAAAAGAACAACTAAGGCCCATTTCACATGTAAGGTATTTACATGCCCAAATAGCACAAAATTAGTATCCAATGTCCGTCGTGCATGTTAATGGGTCAATGAGGCTCAATAAACATATAAATAGTATTCAGGACCTATCAAGTAAATTAATGGGCCACTAAGGCCCAATATTATACGAATGGCAAAATTAGTTCGTTTGTTATTTTATTGCTAGTATTTGTTCAATTGTTTGTCAAATTGACCTAAAAATACCACTTTTGTAATAATATATATATTAAATGCACATAAGTTAACATGTCTAGATGATTTAAAAATATGTATAAGGCATATAAACTTGCATCTAATAAAAGTATAAACACTTTTTAGTAAGTTAAAACAATTTTCTGATTTTTGGCATTTACGTCTCTATTTTTAGAAAAATTATATAAAAATCATTGTAAGTCGAAATTTGGATCCGTCAACTCTGAGAGTTTAGAAAATGAGTCTACTTTCTTCATAAATTTTATTATAATTTTTAGTGATGTGAAACCAGTGTGAAAATGTTTATCTTCACAGACTGGTCCGAAATCCTTCCTGAAATGATAGGCAGTTTTGTAAAAATCGCCAAAAATTGTAGAAAAATCGAATGAATGCGTGAGAGTAGTCATTTTAAAGGTATAAACCTGAAATATTTTCATATAAAGAAGTTTTGAAAAATATTACCATCATGTTGGTCAAAACAGTCCGTAACTAGACAAAACGTTTTTTGTTAAAAGCTGATTTTTGAGTTTAGGTTATATATTTTTGAACACAACACTTGTTTTTGCCATTTTGAGTGTATAAATCTCAGATCTGCAAGTTTACATGACAACGTATACTTTTCTCATAGTTTTTATGAAGATCTAAGTGATAAACTTCATATTTTTAACATATTTTTAGATTTATGAAGTAAACAACACATAATCACCAAATAAATCATGAAAAACACACATAGTCATGCATATACACATAGATCTACACAAAACAACTTGTATTCTCCCCCAAAACTTAGTAAAAACTGAAAATAGGGGGTATGAACTCACTTTGGTTTGATGATTTCAGTTGTGGTGAAGAAAATGGAGAGATCTCGGTCCTAGTAAGCTTTCTTGAGTAGATCTCGAACGTAGGAGGTTTCTAAGGAGCATAGATCATGAAATGGGGTGTAAGAGAAGAGATTTTTTATGCAATCTTGAAGTTATACCATAGGTTTAAGTAAAGACTTACCAAGAGTGATGAACTTTGATGTAGTGTTCTTGATCACACACACACAACTCACGATTTTTTTTGGAGAATATAGGAGGGAACTTCTTATGCTATAGGAAAGATGTTTGAAGGAGTTTGGATGAGAAAAGATGGTGGTGATGTTCGGCCGAGAATGGGCTAAGGAAAAATGGAAATGGAATGATTTGGGCTCTTTCTTGGCTTAGCTCGAGTTTTATAAAACCCAAATAATAATTTTCGGCCTATTGGGCCCTTAGGAGGGTTCACGGCCCAAAAGAAGCCCAATAGGTAGTTTACGGCCCATTAGGGCTAATGAAAACCATTTATGGCCCATCATGGCCCATTAGAGATAAGATGAATCATTCTAGGCCCACATGGCCCAAAATACTTTAGTTTCATGGATATGGGTCCACTTAGAGCCCAAATAGGGTTCTTTGGCCCAAGATAGTCAAATTGAAAACTTACTGGTCCATTAGGCCTAATAAGAAGATCCTAGTCCATAATAAACTTGAACTGGGGTGTTTAGGGTTTTTGACTCACAGTTGAATATGTGAAATCTATTCCATTAGGTTTTGAACTCACTTAGGGGTTTTGATTCAAATGAATGGTTTTGATTAAGCGTTGAACATGATATTCACTCAGATTACAAGTATTACAAGAGTTGATGAGAACAGAATTTCCTAGCTAGAATGCCAGTTGTGACAATATCGTTCTACATCACACCCACCACAAGACACCTCTTATCCCCTTTCCCAAACGACGACGTCGTCAAGCCTTCAACGCCCGATCAGATTCAAGATTGTGACTTCTATCTCAAGACTTACGCCGCCGGCTTCCATCTTTCCCTGTAAGTAAGCTAATAACTTAAATATGTATCTTATTCTTATATTCATGGTTTTTCTGTTTGTAGATGATGGAAGCGGGCTGATGTCTACTCATTTTGTCAAGGATTGAATGGTATTTTGGATTATTGATTGCAGTTTAATAATTTTCCTATGATGGTGACAACTTTTATGAGAACTTTGTGCAATTTGTCCTTTTTACCCCTATTAGGTATCTTGTTCGGTGGCAGCCCTTGATGATATCAAGTTCTTTCCATGCTGCTATTTGGTGTTTGCTGTCATATGATAGTTTTGACTGCTTTCCCCTGTCGACTGATTGTTTTGCTCTTGATTGCCTTATTTGTGCTAGCTTTGATGGTTATAGGCATAGTCGTGCTTATTGCTTCTGTAACCTTAGTTGTGCTCACTGCTGGACAAATGGTGTTTGGGTATATTTACTTCTAAACTTTTTACTTTTTACCCCAAAAATTGTGGTTGGTGTAAATTGTAACTATAGATTTGATTCTACAGCTTTTACTTACGGAACAAATCAGAATTGTGGGTGTCTTAAGGCCTGTTGATGCCGACATTTATGAGCCAGGTAATTGTCATTCACTTTTGGTAAACTTTATTCAAAGAAAAATTATAATATTGGGTTGCTTGCTTTTAACTTGTATTTTAGTATCACTTGAAATGTTGCATGCTTATCAATTTAACATAATGGAGAAAGTTGATTAACTTTAGTCTTCTTGATTAACTATATCTATTTTTTGTTAACCTGCATCTTATTTTTATGCAAGTAAGGTGTTTGATTAATCGGCTCAAAGAATTTGACTTACATGTATATGGGTTTATATTGATATATCTTGCTATCAGGTACCTTGAGTTCTATAAAATTTATTTCTTTGGCTGAACTGGAGGATTACCATAAATTTTATTGTGTAGCTTGATTTTGGTCACATCTTTCTTACCCTAACTTTTTTAATATTTTTTAGGCCCTAAAGAACCTTAGCTACAACAGGTTCAACCATCCAAGAACTGGTAAAGCCATCTTTATTGATGTGAATTGCAGGTATTGTTTGTGTGATGATTTAAGAATTTTTTATCAACAAAATTAGTAGATTTTAATCTCAGAACAATATAAATAGATGGATCATGATTCATTTGTTCTAAATAGATGGATTATAAGCTAATTATTTTAAATAAATGGACCATGACTCCACTTGACCAATTTATTATTAAAATTTTACCTCTAATTAAGAGTTTTTATTATAAAATATATAAAGTGTGCTATTTATCTATTTTTTATTTGATCCAACCTAGATGGTTCGAGGATCTGCCTAAGCATGGAATAGGTGGATTTGTTGATCAATGCGTGCATTATAACTTATGTATCCCAAAAGAAGTACAACATACTTGGACAAGCACACCAGGTATGCTTTTTAATACTAAACTGCAAAATGTAAACAAAAGGAATTTGGAAGGTTATGCAGGTTTTGGATGGTTTTAAACAAATGCATTGTAGATTTTTAAGAAAGTACATTGCCTTTTCCATACTATCGGGTGATAAAAAATGAAAAGTATGTTTCTTTTTCATGTACAAAAATACCAAAAAAATGAGAAGTCTGTTGCCAAAATTTTCATTTTTATGTTGTTTTCTATATGTTTGGCAAAGCAAGTTTTAAATACTAAATTACTAATTGAGTTAACTTGTATTTTCAATGCTTTCTCGTTATGAGTTTATTCACAGTTTGTAGAGAACTTTGCATTATGGGTTTTAACACCTCATTTTATTGTTACAGAGACCACAAGTAACTTGAGATTAAGGCAACCAAGTCTAAGAAGGGAAAAAAAGTTCAACAACACTACATAGGATAATAAAGCAAACTATGAGCAATGTTATTAAGAAAACAACGTAGAAGTTCTCATTCTCGGTTAATATTTTCTTAAATTTTTTCCCTTTTGATGTTATCTAGATTTTATCTTGGTTATTATTTTTTGATCAACTATTAATAGGAAAATTTATGTATGAATTTTATATTCTTATTAATAAAATTTTCTTTTTATTACATTTATTGTATATTTCTATTTTCTGGATTTCATAATAATAGGTGGTTATTATATGTATTTAAATTTTGCCTAAATATATAAAAAAACTTGTAGTTGTAAAAAGTTAATGGGCCTAAAACCAAACAAATGTCATGACCAAAATAAATAAATGTGACGAAAGGCTAAACAATAGCCACATTTTATATTAATTGACGTGCTTCAATAATAGTCGCTATAAAAAAAACAATTGTGTCTAGAAAATAATGTGACAATATGGAAGATAATAGTCATGTTCATTTAAATTATGTGTGTTGATATGACACTAATGACTACGGTTTAATTACTTGTCTATGGTTGTAGTACAAACAATAGTCACACTCCATAATGTTTGCATGTCTAAATGATAAAATAGGTTATACTAATAATCAATTTTTGTCGTAATAAATTGAATATTGGTCACAATTAAAAATGCTATTGTGTCTATAAATCAATTACAGTTATTTTTAATTGATTTTCTATGTCGAAATGATATAAAATAGTCATAGGTACGACTTTTTATATGTCTTAATGATAGCATTGGCCATGATTAGTACTATAAATAGGGCTATAAGCCAATACTAAATCCATAATTTTAATAAAATATGTGTCTTTATAAAACCTATGATCATGTTTCACTTAATTGTGTGTCTCTATACGATAGACAATAGTCACCAAAACTGATTGTTTTTGTAATTAATTATTAGCAAATTGCCACTTATGAAATTAATTACATGTGACGATTTAGCGAACATGGTTATGTTCACCATAATTACATGTCTTCAAAAGATATCCAATAGTATTAATAAACTTTACACTGTGTGACAATTTATTAGTAAAACGCCACACTGAAACAACATGGATGTCGCAAGTTGGTAATATACAATCACTACAGTTACTAATAAGTGTGTCTACTGACGGTTTAAAGTTACAATATTGGATAAAATGAGTGATTTTAGCAACAAAATTCGCTACCCAATAGCCACACTTTTATAATACGACCACATTTTTTCATATCATACGAACACTACATTTTAAAGTGACCATAAGACTCATACGATGACGTCACCTTCCGTCACACTTTCAGTGAAAAAATAAAATGTCACTATACAAATATGGTCACACTTTTATGGTGTGTCCGTAGGTCATTTTTGTACTAGTGATTTTATAATAAACGCATTTCTATAAACTCATATTTATATATTTTTTATAAACACGTATTTTATAAAAATATATTCAAACACGTTTTTATAAACAAATATATACAAACATGTTTTTATAAAAAAAAATATATACAGACATGTTTTTGATAAAAAAACATCATTTGAGAAGTAAATTATCGACAATTAAATTATCCTTTTAAATGTATATACTTTAAATAATAGTTATATAAGAATTAATACCATTAAATAATAAGTCATATTCAAAATTCAAAAGAAATTTTGATCACTAATAAAAAATACACATTTTCAAATTAAAAACAAAATTTATTATCATACAACTTTTTTTTCAACCCGCACAACATTATATTTTTGTTTTAAACACAAAATAATATATCAAAATGAGTTAATTTCCAAGTTATAAGTTACAATCTTCCAAAGAAAATTAGATTTCACTGTTAGGAATTTACCTTTTCATTACCTTCGTGTCAAAGTTAGGTGTCCAATCATACATGTTACCGAATAGAAATAATACCGAAGGAAACTATTCGCACCAATCGTTTGGCGCGGGTAAAAGGCTTCTATATGTGTGTGCGTGTGTGTGTGTGTATATATATATATATATATATATATATATATATATATATATATATATATATATATATATATAGAGAGAGAGAGAGAGAGAGAGAGAGAGACACGTTTACTATGAAATAGATGTTTGTATAGATTTTTTTTTTCGTAAAATATGTGTTTGTATATATTTTTTTTTATAAAAACGAATATGTATATATTTTTGTACTTAATAAATACCTTTTTTAAAAATAGGTATTTCGCCTACAAAAAAGTTTTTTAAAAAATAGCTTTCATATAGAAAATATAATATTTTTTTATGTGAAAACATGTTTTTTTATATAAATATGATTTTTTTTAAAGAAAAAACATATTCGAATTTTTTTTTGAAAAAAAAAAAGTTGTAGAAAACCTAAAGTTAGAATGAATTCATAACAAAATTTTGAAATCTAGTCCAAAAGGGTAAATTTTTTAGCAAATTTGTAATAAAATTTAAAATATGGGCTAGAAGTGTAAATTTTGGACCAAATTTGTAATAAAATTTGAAATCTGGGCCAAAATTGTAATTTTTGAAAGTTGGATGACCTATTGACCAGGTAAAAGGGCTAAACTGAATACGATTACCGGTTTGTAGGACTTAATTGAATAAATAAAATATATGAGACCAATATGTAAGGACTTTTTTTGCAATTTTTCCTAAATTAAATATAATCATACTAATATCCTCCCATAGTTTGATTTTGAACATGAAACTCTCACAAACGTTTAAACTATATCGAAAATCTAGAAAACGGATGGAATACCTTTGGTAAATATATCAACATATCAAGAGGAGGAAGAGACATGGAAAATAGGAATCTGCCCCATCGCCATTTTTCTCCCGTATGACGTATATGTTAATCTTAATATACTTGGTTCTCTAACGTGGAATTGTATTGGTTGATAAGTCCAATACACTAATGTCGTCACAATGGTCAATTTTTATTTTTGAACAATTGTTGTCAAGTTATTTGGATGGTACAACTTATAAAGAAGGTTTTGAAGCCAACATGTTTCGACCTCGGCGCTAGATCGTGAAACGGTACGTTGACACTTCGATGGTCTTGATAAGAGGTTTTGACTAAGAAAAACACAATACTCGGATGTGGAGCGTCGTGTGGTGTAGTAACCAGCCCGATTTGCACCTGAATAAGCTACGAGACTGTGAGATGGATAAGCAAAAAGTTGAAGTCTGTGATTGGTAGTGTCATGCATATATCGATATACCCTTTTGAGAGTTGTGCAGTGTGGCTCATGAGGGTCATGCATGTAGAGGAATACATGTTGCACATCAAAAGTAATATTGGTCCTTAAAAAAGGTTAAGTGTCCCGAAGAGACTCTGACACAAAGTTGGATCATTCATAGGACCAGTGCCATTTAATTTAGTTGATGTGTCGGCTAGGATACAAGCTGGTTTACAATTTATAATATTTTTTCATTCTAAGATTATAATGGCATATTTTTTTTCTGAGAAAAAAACATGCCTCGACAGTCACATGTAACAACAATACAAAGAAAATACTGAGATCCCCGAGATCAGTCATAGAGAACTCCTTACCCAAGATGTTTGTAATATATTGCATGAACTCAAATGAGACACAATGAGCATAATGCCATCCACATAAAGCAGAAGATAGGCTCCCTTCATCTTTGTTTGTCATGTCAGATAGAAAGAGAGACCCCAAAGATCCTTCTTTACCACTTTATGGGGGCGAGGGTGAAGGGAGGGGGGGGGGTTTACATGCAACCGAGGCAAAGTTGTTTATGATTGAATCTTAGAGGCACTCTTATCATTTGGTAGATCTGGACTAGTTTAGATCGATCCTAACCGAATGATTATAAATTCCTTTTATTGAATGTAATAGTAAATAAAAGTCATA